CCAGGTTTGATAAAATTTTTGAAATACTTTTTATGCGTTTGTTGGAGAATGACATATATCACAATTTACAGTCAGGCAAGAAATGTGCTTGTTTACTATTTAGAGGCCGACATGTCAGGTCCCGCGGAACGTCGGGCTTGGGGGCTCAAGCCCCCCCCCCCCTCCCACCTACACACTTTTGAAAAAGTATATTAAAGAGAATTAAATAGAAAGAAATAGAAAAGAAAGTATGCTCATGTAACCGTAATTAAATGCCCATACCCCTGAGCTAATTCCGGGGGCTCTGCCCCCTGGACTCCATCTTGGGCCCTAAGGCTGGCCCCTGGATGCTAATCTGACCTTAATTGTAATGCCTACAACCCCTACGCTTCCGGGGGCTCTGCCCCTTGGACCATACGCCAATTAGTGACCTGCCAGTGTCATGAATATGGTATTAAAATATGCTCATCTGACCGTAAGTACGAAGCCACGTACAATCGATTACAACAGTAATTGTGGGGCCGATATCACGAGTATGCCTTCATAGAATAAAGGTTTTAAAGAAAATATTCATTTCTACTTTCAAAAGGACTGACCTATTTGCTTTAAAAAATTGTAGAGAGTTATTATTATGTAATTTCTAGAAAAAATGCCAACCACATGATTTACAATGAGACAAAAAACATTGATTTGCCGAGTTTCTTCCTTTTATCAAATATACACGTAAAACAATGGGGGACAGACTGAGCGGATAGCAATCCGCACGGATCGTCCCTCGGACGATCCGTGCGAGCAGAAAACCCGCATATTATGTCCGACGGAAAAACGAAACTGGTAGGACAAACGGCGCGGTCACACCGGCCTATGTGTAGACGCAAAATTCCTTGGAAATGGATAAGATAAGTTTTAATATGAAGTTTAAAATCATTGTGTTACAGCCAAATTTACAGGTTTCTCTTGTAAAATACTCCTAATTTTCTATTGAAGATGTACATTGTTTTAAAATTGAAATGTTTAAACTACATACTTTTTAATATCATGTATGATGAGAAAACTTTGAGTTTTTACTGTGATTAAAACTGATTTTGGAAATTAAAGTCCACAAATTATGTTACTGAATTTAAAATGTCGTGGACTTTATATTATTTGCATAGTGTGTGAGTGAAGAACTTCAAATCAATGCTAAATTTATAAATCAGGCAAAATTATGGTTTATATTCTCTATTGACAAATAATGGTTACTTAACAGCTGTTAAAAAAGAACAATATTAATCAGCGGTTTAGTTAAACCCTTAGTTAAAAAGTTAAAACCCTAGTTGAATCCACCTTTGTTTTAATCAGTATTGAGTAAAAACATGTACTTAACTTAATACATGTTTTTACTCACTATTGATTGAGCAACTAAGCGTTACCCAGAAAACATCATACTCAATATTTGAGCAAAAAATTGCTCAAACAATTTGAGTCAAAACATGTACTCGTTAATTGAGTAAAATTTGGCTCAACTCATGAGCAACTTCTTACTCGACATGAGTTGATTACGTTTCTACCCAGATGCTGAGTAAAAAGGGGAACTGCTCAACAAAGGAGTAAATATTGAGTAAAGGTTGACTCATTCAAACTGAGTAGAGATTTAGTCTTTTATTGAGTAATATTTTTACTCAACAGATGGGTATATTTGTTATTCAACACATGCTGAGTAAAGTTTACTCAAAAGTTGGGTGTTTTTCTTTTGACTACTTAAAAGAGTAACATTTTTACTCAAATTGAGCAGTTTTTATTTAGAGTGTAGGCCCTAAAGCTAAAAGTCTCGTGGCAAAAAAGTTCCGTACTATTTCATCAGCTTCCCTTCGAACAGAACTACACTTTTTTGTTGCTTTCTTTAGCACACATTCTTTCTTTTTTGACGCCAGGGGGCCGGGCCCCCGCCCCCCCCCCCCTGGATCCGCCACTACCCACAACTGTTACTGTTCGATTTACATTTCTTGAGTGTCTGAGATGAACTGAACGCTGATCAAAAATAAGTATCAGCTGACGATAATATTTTGTGCAACTACTCAATTCACGAGTCATCTTGGATCCCTGTTCGAACAGGTCGATCTGCTCGGGTCGAGATTGTGTAGAGATCGTGTGTACGGCTAGTTGGTCTAGAAGGGATCGCGTTGGGATTGTATGCAGATCGGAAAGATCGACAAGAAATCGAAGTTGTGGTCGACTATACGCCCGGCCCCCCCCCCACTCAGTGTTATTTAGGGTACGCATATGCGTGTTCCAACCGACCCCCCCCCCCCCTTTTCAGCAAAAGTCCGGTGTGTAAAGTCAATACGGCTCGACCTTTTTCTTTTGTATACGAGCCTTTTTCCGCACCCCCCCTTTTCAGCAAAAGTCCGGTGTGTAAAGTCAATACGGCTCGACCTTTTTCTTTTGTTACGAAAAGTTGGCAACACGCATGCGGTCATTTTGAAACCTGAGTGGGGGGGGGGGGGGGGGGGGGGGGGGGGGGGCGGGACTATACGTCGTGCAGGAGTCGTGAGTGGTTGAATGTGGGTCGCCAATGGTCGAATAGCGGTCGGGAAGAGCTGGGGTTAGGCATGTGGTCGGGATTGGTTTGGGAAAAATGGGTGATCGGGCTTGATGGTGGGTTCCTACTGCCGATCAAACCAACCGACCAAGCCCAATCAATCCCGATCACCCATTTTCCCCCGATTAATCCCGACCCCATGCCTAAACACAAGCTCTTCCCGACCGCTATTCGACCATTGGCGACCCACATTCAACCACTCACGACTCCTGCACGACGTATAGTCGACCACAACTTCGAAACACAAACCTGGATCTGCCGCCAAGTAAGGCACAATATAAAAAGAATATCTTCGTAGCCATTTGAACCCAAGTAGACCGATCTCCGTGTAAGGGAGGTTATTTTTTATGTTTTGTCATGTATTCGAGAGCGAGAGACACACACAAATTGTAAAAGGGCACTGTAACAAATCTTTAAAAAAGATCTCTGTTTAGTACGGATGGGGTTCGAACCCATGCGGACATTACGTCCATTGGAACTTAAGTCCAACGCCTTAACCACTCGGCCACCGTACTGGAGGTTTGTTGTGATGTTCAAGACATGTATAGCGCCACCAACGAGTTTCGTTTACGAGTAAATCATATTTGGAAAAGAAAATATAAACACATTATCGCATTTAAATATTTTGGAACTCTTTTTGCCTCTGACGTTATTATATTTTATATTGAAAAAATATGAACGGTATTTCAGGCAAATCTTGATATGCCCATCAATATCAAAATGGCCTTTCTTTTTATTGAAACAAAATTCGAAATTCGAAACAAACAACCAAACCTTTCGTTTACCTTATAAAAGACCTCAAAAAGCTTTTTTGCCTTATTCAGATATCAATATATAAAATTATAAAGGGGAACATAATTTGTCTTAAAGCATATATCATAGTCCATTATCTTTTACATTATAAACAAAGACATATTAAAACAAATATTAGTATCAAAACTAATATAGTAATCAGTTTTTCGAGTATGAAAATTGTGATACATTTCTACAATTTGGGACAGAGAAAGAACAAATTCAACATAGAACAGGTCAAAGGTGACGATTATACTTCAAATTAATATTTTCGGATATAACATTATAAAAAGGAACATTTTTTTTACAGTATAAAAACATTTTCTATGCAAATTTATTAGTTCAATATAAATTTAACAATCTGAATAAAAAAAAATCTTTAAAAACAAAAAGTGTATGCTGAAATTGCTGCTTGCGACCCATAAGAAACCAATTTGTTTCATATTGTTACATATAATTACAAAGTGCACTTGTTTAACTCCAAGATTTTATTATTACTATATGAGGGTTTTGTGTCAGTGGAGGTCTGTAACTATCTTGTCGTAGTAAAAAAACAACAAGTAAACAAATAGATAAGTTTCAGGATCAAAGAGAAAGTGAGCAGGAATTTAAAAAAAAAAAAATTAGAAGTATAAAAAAATTTTATATAAATGGGGTAAAATTTTCCCATTTTGTCTTTATTTTTGCTTTTTCATAATTGTTTATTCATATTATTTAAAAAAAGAAGCTTTTTTGCCTTTATTCAGATTTTCATAATTATACAAAATGATGAATAGGAACATAATTGTTCTTACAATATAAACATACATGTAGTAAAGTGTCTCATACATTATAAACACAGACATATTTTAAAAATATTTTCCATAAGTATCCAAACTAATATAGTAGTACACTTTCATGAAAGCATCATGCCGCCCTCTTTCGTTAGCTGTATACTTCTTTTCATCATGGTTACGTAATGTCATATTTTTGATGAGATCAGGAGGTTCGTGGCTATTCGCATGGAATATATATAATATCCAGTATCTACCTTTTTTTTCCTTCAAATGCAAATAGCATATTTAAACTAAAATAAATAAACAACATTTCATGTACAAGTAGTATATGTATATAGGCCAAACTTCTCACGTACGTTGCGCGAAACCCATTTTGGCAATGTCCCCTATGAACGATTCAAAATCCTACTTCAAATCCAATCAATTGTAAATGATATGACTTTTATTCTCTCAATAAGAATTAAGAAGTAAAGGGAATTGGAGATATCTTTTTTAAAAGTCAAATAATGAGTAGATATACCTTTTAAATCTCGGGAAATCAACGTTAAACATTTTACTACCCAATAAAACCAATTGTATACACCTGTAACACAACCTTACGTATGAATATCGTCTGCCCGCCCCTTGGAAACATGGCTTCTTTAAACAAAATACATCAATTAAAAGAATTTTTCCGCCCTCACGTTGAAACAAAAATCAAATCTTGTGGAAATATTTATTTCAAATGAAGTATAAAGCAGACTGCAACATTTTTTAAATGTGATTATGAATGGTTTGTCGATAACATCATAACATAGAAACGACTTAATTTGAGGAGTAAGTTTGCTGAAAAGAACAGCGCATGCAATTGTCAACAATCGACTTCTATTCACGCCCTCCACTCAAGCTCTCGACACTGACTCTCAGAGAATGATAGAAGCCGATTTCCAACGGAAAGTCTGACTATGTGGCTTATATTTAGCGATTTTTTGAGCATCCTTTGAACTGTCTTGGTTAAACGAGCTGACAGTCGGAATCAAAGATAGCAGAGATTCCTGTTACCGAGACACTGGTGAGATTTCTCTCATTCTAAAATCATGAAATCGTGGTTTATTTGGTGGCATTTTGTGCCTATGACTATGCGGTAGTTTGTGTGTGTATCGAGTGCGCAGTGAATTATGCGGTATACTCCGGATGCTATGATGGTGTACGGCTAGCTACGGCGTGCAAACTCGGGCGCCGCGCGGTAGCCACAATAATACGTTGTTTCATGGAGTTTCATGATTATCTGTTTGTAATATCTTGTTGCAAAGTGTGTGTTGATGCACTGCGGTGCAAGGTATTTTGTAGTTTTAATGTAGAAAGAATTATAAAGACCAAAATGTGTATCAGATAAAGATGAATCATTTCATGAAAAACTTCCATTGTAACTTTCAAGATTCAAAGAAAGAGAAATAGTGCATAGTGATGATGTGATGATGATAAATGATGATAACGGTAAATGGTTACAACAACAACATCTGCATTGATGAAGATGATGATAAGAATGCATATGTACTATACTGCTATACTACTAAATAGACTAGTTACTACTTCTACCAGTACCATATACTACGAATTGTCCATTTCTAAGCAAATTCATTTCTATGCTGGCAATTATTCCCCAATTTATTCTTATATCCATACAAAATGGGAAATAAATGATACTTTTGTGTCTTCAAAAAGTTGCAGTAATTTAGGTGGTTCGTCTCGAGACGTAAAATTATACCTCTAATGAGAAGGAACAAAATATAGTTTCTGTCTTGCATCCTCGCCTCTTCCAGCTCCATTCCTCGATTGTTACTATAAAATCATTCAAATGTACCGGTAAACTACATTTCTTTGGGTTTTCCTCCTATTGGGCGTTGCGGAGATTTGTCAGAAGTTGCCTTTTTAGACCCCTCTAATTTGTGGAGTGTACATGTGATTGACGACTGGAACTCTCTGCCTGAAGTAGTAGTTCAGGCTCCCACCATAGACGCCTTCAAAACCAGACTTGATCGTTGCTGGAAGGAACAGTGTCATATCTCTCAATACTCGAACTGATTTCTTCAATTTCTTTGCTCCTGGGACATTGTACATAGCACATTGTCCAGTCAAGTTGCAACCTCTTGCCCCTCTGCCTCCCTGACTTGTATATAATGAGAATTATTATTATTAGAGTATGAGTACAAGAAGATAGACCGAGAAGATAGACCTGGAAGCTCGACTGCTGTCTCAGCATTCTTCCAGTATTTGCGGTAAAGGTAAAGGTAAAACATGGATGAATTTAGTCCGGATTTTGCTTGTACATGTATGTGCCTCACCTCAGTTCTCACTTCTGCTCTATCATGCTCTATCCAATACAGAGTAGTGCAACAAGTCATGCATGCACAATAATTGATAAAACCCAGAATTAGTAAACATACTTATGGATACTAATGTAAACTTCTTTTTAAGTTGGTCGGATCATAAACGGGTCGGTGTCGAATTTAAACGTGACAGGTTCACTTCAACACTTCTCCATGACATTAAAACATTAATTGTAGACACTGAGGGCATCGGTGTCGAATTTAAACGTGACAGGTTCACTTCAACACTTCTCCATGGCATTAAAACATTAATTGTAGACACCGAGGGCATCGATGTCAAATTTAAACGTGACAGGTTCACTTCAACACTTCTCCATGACATTAAAACATTAATTGTAGACACTGAGGGCATTATCTAGACCTTCATTTGAACTATTCCAGGGTTTCTTCATTCTTACGCAAAAATAATGATTACGTTTCTCAGTGTCGGAATGAACAGCTTTTTAATCTGTCACCTATTGTATTATAAACAGTTTTTTTCTAGTAGTGTAATTGTGTAAATGACACTATATAAATAAATGATTTTAAAAAATTGGGTTTTCAACAGTGTAAATGGGGCCTAACGTTGACAGGAGATCTAATCGCTGGCATGCTACCCATGTCATACGTGACCGTTCCTTTTGATTTCGTCCTTCGATGTGTGCCTTACTTTTGGTGACACCTTGTTAAATCAACACTGCCCTACCCCTGTATACCTGTGCAATGCTGGACTATCTCTCTGTCTCTGTCTCTCCGAGTCGCCCACTGAAAGCAAAGGGCTATTCACATACGATTGGTATTCAAATAGGAAATGAAAATTCATTGTATATTACATAAGGCACTGTACATCATTACTCTCTGAAAAACACCTAAACATGGATTAGGCCAAATAAAAAAAAAAAACATGTTTAGCGTCCTGTTTTTTTTGAAAAATAGGAAGGAGGAGGCCCTTTTTATTTTTTATTTCAAAATGGCCGCACGGTACATTTTCCCTGACAGTCGAGGCTATTTTTTTTCAAGCTGGCCGCCGACAATTTAAAAAAAAAAAAAAAAAAAATCAGAAATAGAGCCATTTTAGCAGTGTTTTTCATGTTTTTTTTTCTTTTAAAAAAAAAAAAAAGAAAAAGAAAAAAAAATTCCAAAAAAAAATAAAAATAGGAGGCGGCCCCCAAAAAGGAAGCGGGAATGGCCTTAGAAGTTTACAGTAGATTTTATACCAAGGTACAGGGAAACCATTGCCTTTGGGAACCATAGTAAAGTAGATGGGAATGAGAAAATCCAGTAGTCAATGGGTTTCTAATAAAGGGATTATATCCTGCACAGTGTTTTGCACCCTATTCAAAGGATCGTTTCTTCTAAGATATTTTTTTTGTATTTCCACAGGATTTTAAAATCCTCTAGGACCCTTTGCTCCCAACTTGGAATATGAAAATGTTGTACGCTTTCCGTCTATCTTCTTAAAATTGTAGAACATTTTTTGGTTTAGGTTTTGAGTTACTGTTTCTTGTCTGCAGTTGGAAATTCTAGGCCTGACAAAATTACATGTAGACCACCATAGTTAATCTTCAATCCGGTCTAATGGTCTCGTTGCTCACATTGTATCTATTCTGCTACTGTAGCTCCATGCTCTTATCCATTCATTAAGAAGGCTGTAGGGAAAGCCAATTTATGACCTGCTTGAAGCCTTTATGATGTCCTATTTAATACCCCTTCTATACCCCCTTAATACCCCTCTGATGCCCCCCCCCCCCCATTCAAATTCCCTTTGAAGCCCCACTGTTGACCAGGAGGGGGAACAAAGAGCACCCTCTATTACTCCCCTCTCCCCTATTGTGAAACTGATGCGGTTCTTTCTTCCATGGAGATTTCAAATGGTTCATAAGAAGATAACCCTGGACCTCCTAATTCCAAGGCAAGTGATTTAAAGAGAATGTATTGTTTTTTGTTTTCTATTAGTTACAAAGATAGGGCAGTGAAGCAATGAGGGTGGGAGGGAGAGGGGGGGGGGGGGCAGGAGAGGAGGGGGAAGGGGAAAAGTTGCAATGATTTTGCTTTGTACCTTGAACATGGAGAAGAATAGTGCTGTTGTCTGTTACCTACATGTACAGGTAATCTGTTGATTTTGATTTTTTAGAAATGTTACATAGTTATATTACATTATTATTATTATCATCATTGCTGCTAGAGAAGAGGGGGAGGGGGAAAGGTTGCAATGATTTTGATTTGTAACTTGTAACTTGAAGGTTAAGAACAAATATACCGGTAGTTATATGGTGCCTACATGGACATGTAATGCATCTGTTGATTTTGTGAAGTGTACATAGTATTATTACATTATTATTATTATCATCATTATTGTTGTTATTACATCATTTGTAACTAGTGTATTGCAATGCCTTCATAATGATAATATGCATACATAATTTATAACTCCAATCTCCTTGATTCTTAACTTCAAAATCCCAGGGTATTTAAATTGTCAATCAATTAGACCTTGCCCCTTTTTATGGCCCCACATCTTCAAAGTAAATGGCCTGTATCAAACAGGCAAATGAAAGGAGAGTCAGGGATTTCATACAAAAAAAGCCCCAAATTACAATAGGACTTTGAAATCTTATGTGGATTTGCTCAAGCAGGTAGGCTATAGTCTAAAGGAGCAGACCCTCATTCCGATCTGACAGATTTGTGAAGGAAGTTCATGTATGTAGATTCAAGATTGTAATTTAGAATTCCTATGCCCATTGCCACCCTTTTGTCCAGGATATAAAGTGATCTACTCGTAGCAAATGCAATGGTACTGTGAAAAACATTGCATGACTTTGTCCTATTTTTAAGAGTCTGCATAATGCAACTACATGTAGGTGCAGGTATCAGAAAGATTCTTATTCAATTTTGTGTATATTCACGTTTTTTAGATCATGCTCCACAATGAAAAGTCATTTTCTTGTGTCATTACCCACTCTCAGAATAACTTGTAAAAAGGCATTCATTCAAAACTGACTTTTTTGGTTTTGTCAGTCTCATGAACCCTTAGAAACCTTTTCAGAAGGGCTGCTATCGATAGATAGATACCAACTTTATTGGTTTCATGGGCCAATCGCTTTTATCAGTCTCGTGAAACCTCAAAAATCTTTTCAGCAGGTTTTTGACACCGACTTGGTTGGTATCATGGGCTAAAACTTTTTCAGAAGGCCCATTACAGTGACTTTGTTGGTTTCATTGGCCATTGGAATGAGTAGCATTTTAAAATCTTCAGAAAATTTGACAGAAAGACAGCAATATTGACTTTGTTAATGTCATGGGGCGTCAGTCTCGACTAGTGCTGTAGTCAAACGTTTAACCGTCCGGTATCCGACCGCCCATGGCGGATTCCGTTTTCAATTGGATGGTTTCGTTTTCCCGTTTTTTTTTTTTTTTTTTTTTTTTTTTTTTTTAATAATTTTTTTTTTTTTTTTTTTTTAAAGTTTCGATTTATGCCCCTCCACCTGGCACTATGCCTGGCAATGTCTCCCAGCTCAGTAATCGGTGTGATGACTTACCACTTGGAAACTAGAACAACACTCCAATTTGTCTGTCATCTTGGTTTGAAAGTAATCTTTGTAATAGATCTCAATATATATATTCATCCAAGTTTAACACATGGTGTACCACAAGGTTCTATCCTAGGTCCTCTACTGTTTTTAATTTACTTTAATGATCTTAC